CAAACAAAATATGTTTGATAACAAATTTCTTTCATCAGTCAAACAACATGCATAAAGAGACCATAGTCATGTTGATGCCTTGTACAAGAAAACTCTCTTATGTACCATTTTCCTAGTATATAACATGTATGCATTTATTGTCTTGTTACTTTGTGTGATATAATTAACGCTAGGATTTCTTCTGTCGCTTGTTTTTGTGTGTAGGGAGGATCTGGTTATGTTAAAGCAATACGTTACCAAAATGTGAGAATGGAAGATGTTTCAAACCCAATCATAATTGATCAATTCTACTGTGATTCCCCGTCAAATTGTCAAAACCAGGTATATATAACATCTTCCATTTTCATACCCTTCAATCCTTAATTTTTCACTATTATGACTACTTAAACAAACTCGTGGCCAAAAGACTATTTACAAAACCATTTGATTTTGATTTCTCAGACATCAGCTGTGGAAATAAGTCAAATTATGTACCGGAACATTACCGGGACTTCTAAGAGCAAAAGGGCTATGAAATTTGCATGCAGTGACTCAGTACCCTGCAACCACATAGTCCTGAACAACATCAACCTAAAGACTACCGATGGCACGGCTGAGACATACTGCAATTCGGTCACGGGTTTTGGTTATGGATATGTGCAGCCTTCAGCAGAATGCTTGACATCCACCGACAAGGCCTCCATGATCGAACAGACAGCTGAGCTTGAAGAACGAAGCGGAAAGGACTTGGTTCATACTGAACTCTGATTCTACACATAGGTGGTCATTAATTACTACATGATTGTATTAAGCTGGATAATTAACTCAAGAGTATACTAGTATAGTATTTGATTAAATGAGGTCTCAAGTCTCTAAGATGCATAAGTCTAATTTCAAGTTAAATAACAGGTTTCATACTTTTATACAGCAATTACGGTGAACCAAATTCAGCTATACAATAGAGCAGTTGTGTAATGTACTTATAATTTGAAAAAAAAAAAAAAAAAAAGTCAATTTATTGACTATTGAGATTAGTTATTATATGGTTGTGCAGTTAAATGTTTGTGTATTGTTACTATATATGTGTACATCAAACAGTCTCTTTGCATACGAAATATATCAAATCATCCTTTAACTTCGTGCACTGGACTAATTCTTTATATATACGTATGTGTGGGTATAAACATTAGAGGGCCATGACCTCTCTATCAGCCTTTGCACCTGACCTGTGTTTGGACCACAACAATTAGTGGTACAATGGATTTGTATAAATGTATATATAAAGGCCCAATTCTTAGACAATGACTGTTATGAGTATGAAAAATTCCAAATTGTAAGACAAATGGCATGTGTAGATGGTGCATACACAGCACACAAAAGTGACATATCCAGAAAGTGATTATGTAATTGCACTGTGAGTCAAGGGCCATTATGGCTTGCATTGTCAGCAAAGTTATATAACAAAAGGTAACAGAAAGGTGAAAGGAGAAAGATAAATTTGCTCATCAATTTTTGTTACCGAGGCGTATACTCTAAAAGGAGAGAGATTCTACTCTTATTTAATATTGACAAGAGTCCAACAAAAGTCTTTGTTGAATACTAATTATTGGAGTCAGTTGCACAACAAACGGATAATGTTTTTTAAGCAAAACTCCCAACAGAAAACAAAAAGGTCTGATAAGATCATGTCCTCCCCTAAAACAATAATTTTGGGCAAAGAAACTATGGGCCGCAGAGAGATCTTCAAATCTGGGAATGGAAGGGATTGGATAACTTTTGCTGGCCTTGAATTTAGGATCTAATACAAACAAGAAGGCGGAGACAATTAATATACACAGCATACACATACATGTGTGTGTACATTATATATATATATATAATACAAACAAAGAATTCCAACTAGAGTTTCACATGCCCAACAACATGCACAACATTAGCAATGGTACCAACATCAGTAAAATGCTCGTCTTTGGAAGCTCAAGGTAGAACATAACGTGTTCCTGTGAACAGTCAAACTATTGTTTCTACCTTCAATTTCTATAATGATCCGTGACCCCTTTTTTTCTGTAAGTTTGTGTGAATGAGTCAATTGGTACTCCTTGCCACTGTTCAAGAATTGCTCTGTTTTCAGTTAAATGTTATTTACCATTTAGATGATAATGTGGCAACTGCTCATATATTTATTTGCACGTGTGTCTGTCACGTCATACATCCTTTCAGAACAGGTTGTTGTTAGGCAGCATGGAATAAACATTTCTTAGCTGAGTAGACGCTTCTGAAAATTATAAACACCTAAAAAAAAGTATGCAAAACGGACAATATCTACATAGTGAATGAATCGCAACAACAAGTATACGACTATATATATATATATATATATAAAAGTCTAGTATGTAAATACATGTAATGACACATCTCTTATGAGTTATGACTGCTGCAATCATTGGTGAATTCAAAACATTGTCCTATTCTGACGAGTTTGATGCTAGGCATTGTGAATTTTTTTCACGTGTTCATGATAAAATTTTATCCTGGGCACCATATAAATTTAATGAATTGAAATAATACTATTTTTTTTTTTTTTAATGTAAACTAAGATCCCTTCAAATTTTATTTGATTTCATAAAATGGAACCACTTCATCAATAAATGTTTTGTTATTAAATCTTAATGATTATGAAATTAAATTGCTTCATTTTAATTGATCGTGTGTAATTTATTTCACATGTAACATAAAGTTAGTAAAAATTTCAATAGGATTTAGAAATGCTTTAATTGGCAAGCTGTGACGGCAAAACATAAGCAATGCTAACTTTGGACTTGAGGACAAACACAATAAATGTTTTGTTCTTTCTTTTTCTTTTCTTTTCTTTTCTTTTTTTTTTTTTTACTTTTCATGTTGTTGCCTTAGCATAACCATATGAGTAAAGAACCAGAGAGAACATAACTGGAAATCTTCATTTTTTTTTTTTTTTTTTTTTTTTTTTTTTTTTTTTTTTTTATCTAAGTTGGTAATTGGGGCAAGGCATGAAAGTTTGAAGCATCTGTTGGTCAATTTAGCAGTAGCCTGCCAAATCTGAAATGGAACAAAAAGAACCCTAATAATCATCTCTCAATGCATGGAGGTCAGTGGGTTCACGAGGTGGCTCAAAGTTCACGAGCATTTTTTGCACAAAAAGACGGCCAAGAAGGTCCTACTCGATACGTTCTTTCCAAATGTCTATATCACATTAGTTGATGCTGCTCACATACTCAAACACACATTACACACACTAACACAGTAACTCAATCTAAGTTAACCCCAACTATTGGATTTGTTACACAATCGTCCAATAATTGTGATTTAATCGGTTTAGAAAGGCAAACTAAAAAGATTGTTTAAAATATAATTTTTCGGATTAGGTAAATGTCAGTTCCATATAACTGAAAATAGCATTAAAAAATTTGTTGTGAACAAAATTTTCTTCAAATTCATTCCGAAACACCAGTTTTATGCAACAGGTTCATTCTGTTGTAAATCTCAAGTTCAAACATAGCATAAGTTCATTCTATTGTAAATCTCAAGTTCAAACATTTTCCTCATTTTTCACTGATATCTAGGCAGCTTTTTGGCTGTTCCACGGTTCCACCAGAAAGTGCAAATTCACATTCCATCATTAATATGTCATGCTGTCACCTTTCTTATCCTAAAATTTTAATTTATTTTTTTGGTTCCGAAGCTAAATTATTAATCTACAGAGGACCCAAACATGTGATTTTTATTTTATTACATTTTCGTGAACTAAATTATTGTTAGTTGGACACTAGTAGTTTTTCCCATCTGGTCAGAAACCAAGACAAATGGTATAGGAAAAGTGTGGGTGTTCTGAGTTTTCTTTCATACCTATCATATTCTTCATATAATTAATGCAACTTGGATCATTTACTTGAATTTTTTCCAATTGACTTACAGAAAACTTCAAAATCCTATATATTTATTGCATAATCAGAAGTAAAAGTTATATATAATGAAAGAGTAATGATACGAAATTCGGGAGTCGAATAATTTCGACTGTTTTTATGTAAGAACTGACATCATCATCATGATATCAGTCTTACCTTTGCCACCATACCTTTGATATCATCATGATATCCGCCTCTATTCACATCAAACAATTGAATTTAATCCTGCATACGGATTACATATCATTTACCATAAAGAAAAAAGAAAATGAAAAAGCTAATTTTGAACAAGTATATATGTACGTAGTATATGCTTAGAGGGTCGGGGCCATTGTAGCTGGTTAAGAAGACAAAAGTACAAAACTGAAGCCCGTGAATGTTTGCATGTGATCATAAAGAGCTGTTATAATCAGTGCCCTTGACAACTTATAGACCCACTCACGTGTGTCGCTTTGGCTTTTACATCAACAGCTAAAAATTCTTAATAATACAATTCACACACACACACACACACACATACATATATGTATATGTATATATATTGAAATTGACTACTACCATAGAAGAAAGCCAGAGAAAAGTACAGAAGATGTCGCATCACTATTATCACATGGAATGAAATAAACAAAAAAATAACCACTCAAAAAATATAAATTCATACAACATAGTTCTTTATATTACTAGAGCTTAATAAACATTAAAACTAAGCATTCAAACATGCATGGCTTAAAATTTCAAGTCCATGGAATGCAACCAACTGTTCAATCATTCAAGAATTCAGCATAATTTGTTCGGAAATAATCATGAAATGCTATATTACAACATGCTAGAGAAACAGAGTTTCCTTTATTCTATATTTTGTGCCATTTTACCAAGATTAAACTCAATATTTACCAATAGTCGACATGTTACACGAACATTCGATGAGTCACATGCAACAAATATATGCCATGTGGTGAAAAATGGAACCTGCTGGTGAGTCAAATTAATTCCAACAAAATTTAACAAAAAGGGAAATAATTATCAAAATTTAACATATCTGGAAGAATGAAACTTAAATGAAATAAGTAGCATAATCCATCAATGTTTGCTTATGTCCGCATACAGTCTCATTTTGGAGAGCTCTTCCTATATAAACCCAGCCATTTCTCTTTTTGACCATCTCTCTCTCTCTCTCTCTCTCTCTCTCTCTCTCTCTCTCTCTCACCCACCCACATTTCCATCTCCATCTCCATACATTGAACATGAGTGAGTTAAGCTTTAAAAGCCTCACATTTATGTTTTTCATAGTATTCCTTGTGTGGTCATCAAATGTTAATAATTGTGATGCAAGAAGAGGCAAGCATTGGAGGCAGAGTAGGAGTACCTCAGCTTCTCTGTCCAAGAAGAAAGGAAAGTATCATCATGGCATTACTCACCACCACAATAATGGTGGTAAATCTAAACATAAAACTCCATCTCGAAAAGCACCACCTCCTCCAGCTACCGGACCAAAAGAAGGTATCCCATCAACCCCACCAAAGAAAAGTTACAAGAATTGGCATTCCACCACCTTCAATGTTTTGGATTTTGGCGCCAAGGGCAATGGAAATAGTGATGACACCAAGGTAACTTCAAGTTCCTGTCAATGTTCATGAATTTGTCAGAATGTTCTCCAAGAATTCATAGCAAAATATGCATCCTACAACTTGAAATTTTGGTCTAAATTATTATTTTTGTCCCTGCAATTTTAAGCTTGTTTTCCCCAAAATGTTGAAGGTATAAGGCTCTAAAGACAAGCATGCATTACTCGGTAACAAAAGGCATGACTACATTAACAGCCTAGACAAACATGCATTCATTCACAATGCTCATTTCCTGCATTAACAGCTTAGCCTTTATAGTATTGTAAATTCAAGAAATTGCAATTAAGATTAAGATGAAGGACAATTTGGTCAATTTGTTGTAATTTCAATTCAGCAATTAAAATTGTACATTGAATTCTTTATTAAAAGGCATCATGGTAAAATGTGTTCACTAGTAATTTCATTAGTTAAGAACAAAGAAGTTAAGTAATTGCCACACATTTTTTGGCTTTCTGCTCTACAAGTATTCAACCAATATATGTATGTGCATTGTACAATATAACAAAGAGAGAGACCACATAAAGTGAAAGACAACAGAACTTTCTTGGTAGTTGACAACAAAATCAGGAGGGGCCACTCTTATTATTCTGTTGCAGGAGTTTGTTCAATTTCCAACAATAATTGTATACAGTTCTGTACAAAGTAACTAATGTATGATTATTATTATTTACCTCAGCTGCTTAAGTAACTACAAATTTAGTTGTTCGCTTAATTTTTCAAAAAATAAAAAATAAAAAATAAAAAATAAAATTACAAATTTAGTTAATAACTAAGCTAAATGTATTTATATGGTGCAATGTAGGCGTTCCAAGCTGCATGGGCAGCTGCTTGTAAAGTGGAGGCATCAACGATCATCGTTCCATCAGAATTCGTGTTCCTTGTGGGACCCATATCATTCTCTGGTCCTTACTGTCAACCAAACATAGTCTTTCAGGTAAATTATGATACACTTTTGTAGAATGTAATCGTATATAAAAATCTATTATCCAGCAAATTACCAAGCCAAACACTAATAATTTAATACTTTGGTGCTTGATCTTCCTTTGCCATCCAAAACTAGTCTGGTATACATCATGGGGATGGTAATTGAGATGTTATGTCATACGTCTAGGCTTCAATCATCATCTGATTGGGGATTACACAAAATACAAATAAAAAACTAGTACATTTTTTGAGAATTGTGTGTGTGTTAGGTCTGTTTTCAGTCTTTTTCCTCCTAGAACCTTGTGTAAGTAAAGATATACACACTAGGTAATGCACTTTCTCTTCTACAGCTTGATGGCACAATCATTGCACCGATGAACTCTAAAGCTTGGGGTTCAGGTCTCCTACAATGGCTTGAATTTACAAAACTAAGAGGAATCACAGTTACGGGAAAAGGCTTGATTGATGGAAGGGGCTCGGTCTGGTGGCAAGATTCCCCATTCGATGATCCCCTTGACGATGAAACAAAACTAATTGTTCCATTAAACAGCACAGTAGAAAGGAGCCCACTGGTTCCGGTAATTATTCGATCCTATCTTCTCTGTCTTTTTCTGTGGTTAGTTTCTACATTGCCTAGGACTCACGTTGTTAACTTCCAAAAATTGTGTGGCAGATAAGCAGCTCACTTGGTGGGAAAATGCCAAGCATCAAACCAACTGTAAGAACACTTGAAAACAACCAGAATTTACAAGTGCATTTCTTACCAAGCAATCCATGTGACATGATAATTGTACTTTTGCTACCCACAGGCACTCAGGTTTTACGGGAGTTTCAACGTGACAGTCACTGGCATAACAATTATAAACAGTCCCCAGTGCCACCTCAAGTTTGACAACTGCATGGGAGTTTCAGTATACGATATGAGTGTCTCATCTCCCAGTGACAGTCCCAATACAGATGGAATTCACTTGCAGAACTCCCAAGATGTTCTAATCCATAGTACCAATCTTGCTTGCGGTAATTACATTACTTGTGGATGGGAAATTTTATCATTCCAATCAGTTCGAAAATGGTAGGTCACTAGTTGAGCCATGCTGCTCAAGAATTAGAATAAGACCTACAAGTCAAGATTATTGAGTTTATGGCCTCAATAACCTTACTGCTTAGTTATGGACTGATGTCATTACTGAAAAATTAGACAGAAAACCTCATATCATTAAGATAGCAGGGACCCTCCCCCTGTGCACTGGACAGTCGATCCAGTGCACAGGAGAGGATCCTAATTCCTGAGACACAATCCTGCTATATCATGCCATAACCTTATCGTGCCTGTTAACCTACACAAACCATATTTTTGAAGCCCAACCCCTAATATCTTGACACATGACAACCAATCATCTCTTACATAATTCTTATTCACCACAAGATGCATAGCCCCGGTTAATACATATGTGTCACAATGTACCAATGCATTGTGGGGTTAGGTTGTGAACACCAAAAACCCCACAGCCAGAACACTTTTCTTTTGGCAGATTCCTTCAAATTTTCTTTTGTCGTCTTCAGAAACTAGAACAACGTCTTTTCTCCCCCTTTTCCTCATTCTCTTCTGCTTAAGAGGCTAAGAGTCTATGAGTCTAAGACAGCTCTAAAGATACATGAAATCCCATTTAGTCTGAAAGATAATGAACATAAAAACAGGTCCATGCAGGGTTAATGTTGACAAAAGTTCTCAAATCCTTTTTCATTTATTTAATAAGAAAATGAATTCTCAAATCTCAATGCTGCTGTGTGCAGGAGACGACTGTGTTTCTATACAAACTGGATGCAACAACGTTTATATACACAATGTGAACTGTGGACCAGGGCATGGTATCAGTATCGGAGGTCTAGGAAAGGATAACACCAAAGCCTGTGTCTCCAACATTACTGTTCGAGACATCATTATGCATAATACAATGAATGGAGTCAGGATAAAGACATGGCAGGTATGGCTACCTTTTGCAGTTTTATTGATAACTCAATGAGTGGAACTAAAGAAATCAAGAATTTGGTTGCGAAGATTGGACAAACTAGCCATTTGCAAAAGAAAAGAAAAAATCATAACCTAGTAATGTTTTCTTAATTGGCTATAAGAATTACAAATTCGGAAAAACTACTCGACCAAGTTCCAAGTCAAGTTGAAGACTGTAAATTTCAAAGGAGTTTCAACATTTTGAAACAGTTTCAAGACATTTGAGAAAAATTCACTTTCACAATTCCAACTAACTTCAGCTTCTTACATAAATTTCCAGGATTTAACGATCTACAGATAACTTCAAAAATCTTGTAGAGTTTTATTTTCGACACTGGATTAAGTATGATGTTATAATAAAATTAATGCAGAACTTTTGACTGCAATCTGAGTTCACTCAACACAGCCATTTTACTATTAATGCAAGATTTAAAGATTCTTACCTAGTTCGTTAATTTTGCAGGGTGGGTCAGGGTCTGTGCAAGGAGTCCTGTTCTCAAACATTCAAGTTTCTGAAGTCCAACTTCCAATCATAATAGATCAATTCTATTGTGACAAAAGAACATGCAAAAATGAATCATCTGCTGTGGCTCTATCAGGAATCACCTTTGAAAGGATAAGAGGAACTTACACAGTAAAACCCGTACACTTGGCATGTAGTGATAGCCTTCCATGTACAGAAGTAACCCTAACCGCGATACAACTGAAACCACTGCAAGAACAGTACCACATGTATAATCCCTTCTGCTGGCAATCCTTTGGAGAGTTGAATGCCCCTACTATCCCTCCAGTTGATTGTTTACAGATTGGGAAGCCATCAAATAACCGGATTCAAACTGCCCATGACTCCTGTTAAGTGTTAAATTTTGCTAGGTACATTGTGGTGTGTTCAGTATGTTGGTCGGTGTGACTTCCTGACCCCTTTCACACCATTAATGAGTGAGCTAAGGATGCATATATTAGTATTGCTAGTGTCATGGGAATTCTTTTTTTACTGAGGTTGCTTGGGTTCCCATTGCGTGGTAGTATACAGACATTGTGTGAGAATATACAGATATTGTTATTAGTTAAATGTTTAATAGCATGATAAAAAGCAGCCTTGATACTATGATATAAGGCAGCCTTCTCTGCTATGTTAAACTATCCCATTGTTAATAGATATACATGCTTGATTTCTAGATGTGTGATAAATAAAACACCATTCAACAGATTACAAGTTCGGTTTGAAAGGTTTCTTTTATTGCTGCTAGAAAATGACAGGCAGTTGCCAAATGGAATTAAGATACAACAGGCAAGTAATATGTGGTTCAAATAAAAATTTCAATAATATTTTTCTATACACAATGCTAGGCTTGCTATCAATTCAGTTAGGCATGGAAAAAAAGCAGCAGGAATGGGAAGTTCGTTAGACGTACTTGTACATCAGAAAAAGGATGCCACATGGATTTAGAAGCTAAACAGTGAGGGGGAAAAAAAAAGAGAGAACAGGCCAGAAAGAAGCAATTACCAGAAAAATGCTCCCGAGATAGAAAATCTTGCAGGACGGGAACTTCGTGGCCAGCAGAAATATCAAGCCACATAAAAAATGATTTCCTATATCATGACATATAAAAATGAAATTTAGAATTTAAATATTTATACTCTACCTGGTTCCCTTTGCCTCGGACTCATCATGCTCTGTTGAATTAGAAGATTCCATACCTTTTTTTTCTCTTTTCTTCCAGCTTCAGGCAGTCAATCAGATCATTAGTGTCCTATCTGTGTACACAACTCTGCATTTCTTATTTATGATTTATCCAATGGATAACCGTTAGGAAAATATTCTGGCAGATCAGACAATCAGATGCATCTGTAAAGGTGAACCAAAACAGTTGTTTGAAATCTAACATTGAAAACCTGGGAAAAAGGATTTCAGTAGTCATGAATAACGGAAGTCGAGTAGGAAGTCAACTAGATGACTATATATATATCAAGATAAAGATTTCCAGAAGTAACAAGCAAGGTAACATTCTGGTACATATGAGGCATATGTAGCACAACCATTTGATATAGGAAGCAGCACTGGTAACCAGATACTTGACCGTCATAAAACCTGTCCCTTCTTTCTCATTACTAAATCATTCGCAATAACATGAAATCAAGAAAATAACTGGTATGTTTGTAAATATTAAGAAGTCCCTCACATAAAACTCTTAAAACTTACTATATCATACCTTTGATATAAATTGCTGCAAATAAATGGTGAAAAACACTATTAAGAAACACCCAAAGCAAAAAGATTTACTGAATCCTGCTAACCAAATGCAAGTTTAAAGGGTTCTCTATCCCATGAAAAAAGAGCCTTTGAGTGCTTTTTTTGTAAATAGGCACGGGTGAAGAAGCATTCGAGCTATTAGGAGATCATCTGCCATCTGAAGCTCATTTGATTGGTGATCACCAAGAAGTTACAAACAAGTTGTAGATTTTCCAAGTTGAACAGTTATGTCCAGAAAATATGGAAGAGAGTCACAAATACTAAAATAAATTAAAAACAGGAGTAGATTTTGCTTAGTTGAGATCAGTCATTTTCAGGAAAGCGGTTGGAATGTCCTCATCTCACTATAACAGCTCCTATTCCAGTAGTGACTTCCTCGGAAACTTGCCGACACACAAAAATGGATTTTACCTCTTAAAAACCTCTTATTATATAGGGGTGGCAATTCGTGTTCGCAGGTTGTAATCGTGTCGTGTCAATTTAAGGGTATTATATTAAACAGCTCGACTCGAACACGACCCGTTTAATAATCGTGTCAAAAACTCTCAACACTAACATGATCTATTTATTAAACGGGTTACACGTGTAACCTGTTTAATGACATATTTACAATATATATATATATATATATATATATATAAATTATTAATAAAAATATAAGGTTTAATCAACCAAATTACTAAATAGTTTATAGTTTACAAAAGATTAAATTATAAGACACAAGTTTATATAGTTATTTTAGAACTTAAACAGAAATTTATTTACGACATATATAGTTAAAAGTGTATAAACGAGTTACACGGGTTGAATCCCTCAACCCAAACACAACACGATTAACCAAACGGGTTAATTGTGTCAACCCGTTTATAACCCGAACCCGTTTAAGGTCAACCCAAACCCGTTTAACTCGTGTTGTGTTCGAGTCGTGTTGGTGGGTCGTGTCAGCATTTGCCATCCTTATTATTATATCATACCTAGTATACCTTAGGTAAGAATAACTATCACCCCATCTCTGTATTGCTGCATAAATACATACATTCTTTGGTGCATTGGTAGATGCTTGGAACGCAGGTTCAAATCTTGAAAGCAGTCACTTTTTGCAATTTAATGCTGAAACTTAGGTCTGTGCATCTCTCAGCAACCTGAATTAAAATGGACAATTACCCTTTTCCTCTGATTTCATTTAGACAACAGTTTCAAACTTTTTATTTTTATTTTTCACTTGAAAGTTCAAGCAAAACGGGCACACACCATGTATATTGCCCTAGCAGGGCTCGTACTCTAAACCTCCCGTTTGAAGAGATCATAGAATCTGGACTAATGCCCGTTGGTACAATAGTTTCAAACACATTTACAAAGAGTAGTTCTCAAACATCAACTCATATAAATAAGCATGAGATTGGAACTCCTGTAAATATACTAAATAATCAACAACTTTGTCATTAATGAGAAATACTAATGGAAATGGAAATTATAGAGGTTCCTATCAAATTTAAAATCCGTTAAAAACCCTAATGTACTGAAACAGTTGGTGGCATATCACAGTTATAAATGAAATGAATGTCCTTAATTGGTTGGAATTTTCAGACTTACCAAACACGACTAGGGTCAAAAGTAGAGGGTGATGAGGCCGGAAACAAGTCAAGTGTCCATCATTGTCCTCCCTGGTGGCCATATGATGCGATTAGGGTAGCAAAACCTTTGCTTTCAAGATGCAAACCTCTCACCCTCTTCTGTACCCAAATCAAATCTCAAGTAAATGCAAGCAGTTTCATTAGTTGGTGACCCCTCTCTCTCTCTCTCTCATCAGTCAAACCTAACCTCATTTTCGTAGACATTACGGATCTCACCACTCCCTCTCTACCGACTACTGTATAAAATTAATGTCATTGGGCTCAACGTGTTGTGTTTGGGTTTTAACCTAGATATTAAATTTAGAGTAATGTTATTCAAACTCCGTTAAAAAAAAAAATAATGTTATTCAAACTTAATAAATAAGGAGAAAGCCAGACACCGACATTCATATAGATCCCACGTGATCTATCTCATAAATGTCTACAATTATTTAATTTTGAAATAGAATAGATGAAAATAAATTTTAAAAGAAAATAAGTACTTTAAGTTTGGTGTGCAGGAATGGAGGAATGGAATCTCTTGTGACGATTCGAATTTTCATAAACTCGGATATGTCAATGTAACCCGAAAGTTGACCCAATAACAAATCTGGAATGCAGAAGCGAACATAAAGAAAACAAGATTCCTAGGGATAAACGGTATCCCAAGAACGCAAGAGTGATTTTCATGAAATCACGGAGTTTAAAAGAAAACAAAATGCGGAAGCGAAAAGGTAAAAATTGACCAAGTATGCTCCAGAGGGTAAAATGGTCATTTCACATAAAAAACAAGGTCTCAAGAGATGTACGTCATCTCTAAGACACAAACATGACCTCCCATAAAGCCACGGAACTTAAAAGAAAACAAAATGCGGAAATGATGTTTTTAAAAAAATGGACAAGTTTAGCCCTAGGGGAAAAATGGTAATTTTCAGAAAGTTATGGGTGCTCCCGAGCACACCATTGGATAGGCAGCGAAAAATTAACAAAGTTAAACTCAACAATCACATGATTTGGAGTCTGGACGGAGGAGAACAACTAAAAACAAAACTGGCTTCGCCGCCCGAAGGGGGTCAAGGCCAAGCCCCATGCGCGCGCCGCCCATTACAACTATTCTTTTGTTTGGTATGCAATTTAAAGTGTGAATGGTCATTACATTGAAATGAAAATACATTCCACAACTAAACTTATGGAATGACCATTCCATTCCTAAGTAAATTTTTTTTAAAATCAACTTGCCAAAAAATCCTCATATTCCAAATCCAAAAAATGCCATTACCTTCTACCACAACCACCTCCGCATTTCACCACCACCATCACCGACTTCCACCACTACCACTGCCTTCCACCACCACTACCATCACCTACTTTCACCATCACCCACCGATTTTCGCCACCACCACTGCCACTTCCTTTTACCACCAACATCGTTTTCCTTTGCCGCAACCACCGCCGCTGCCAACGCTAATGCCTTTCACCACCGCCACCGCCTTTCACCGCCACCACCGCCACCGCCTTTCACTACAACCACCGCCACCGCCTTTCACCACAACCACCGCCACCGCTTTTCATCACCGCTACCTTCCACTACCGCCATTGCCTTTCCCACCGCAACCACCTTCCACTACCACCACTGCTACTGCCTTCCACCGCCTTTCACCACCACCACCAGTGCCATCGCCTTTCACCACTGCCACGACTACTACTGCCACCACCTTTCGCCACCACAAAGCGCCACCACGTGCCTTCCACAACTGTCATCGCCTTCCACCACCACCACTGTCGCCACCATCCACCACCGCCGCCGCCACTGCCAACTCCACCGCCTTCCATCACCATAAGCGCTACCGCCTTCCACCACCACTATTGCCTTCTACCACCACCACTGCTTTCCACCACCACCGTCACTGCCTTCTACCACCACCAACTCCACTGCTTTCCATCATCACCGCACTACTACCATCGTCTTTCACCAGCACCACTATCGCCTTCCAACAACACCTGCCATCTTCCACCATTACCACCACCGCCGCCTTCCAACACCACCACTTACACCACTACCGCTTTTCACCTCCACTACTATCGTCACCACTGCCACTGCCACCATTTATTTTAAAAAATCTATAGAAGAATATCATTTTGTTAATTTAATTAATTTATTAGTAAGAGATATTCTGAATAACTCAATTTGAAATTTATTCCATTCTAAATTTTAAATTGGTCCAACCAAACACTACAATGGTTATTATCATTCAATTTATACACATTTCATGTTTACAATAGTCATTTCATTCTATTCCCACTTACATTCTGTTTTATTCATACACACCGAATATAGCATTACAGTTGGATAGTTAAAACATGGTCATCCTATTTTTCTTTTCTAGTTTTTAAGAAGCAGAGTCAATAGGTATGAAAATGTAAATTTGAATTTCATGATAATCAACCGAATCCAACAAAGACCTTCAACCTAAGTTCTTATTTCGAACCATCTACAAAATTTTGAACTCAATTTGTAAAAATAAGATAAACATTAAGATTGGGCTATACAAAAGCTAAAAGATTCTAATTGTAGGAATAGTTGAAGCCTCAACTTAATCCCAATTTCAAATTAAGGAATTTTTTAACATAGTTTATTCTAATTGTAAAAATTGTTGATCAAATTTTATGAGAAATCGAGTTAAGCTCCTTCAAATCTGCCCAATTGCACTTTCCAATATACCCTAATGGACATTTACCATAGTGCATGGAAGATGAAAGTTACAATCCTTGTTCGCTCATATATATAATTTTTTTGGGGGCCGTAATTTTTTTTATTTTTTATTTTTTATTTTATAGTAATTATTTTGTACATATTGAGCAAGATAGTCTATTGTAATATGTATAATGTATGTCATTTCCACAATAAATTATGAGATGCTCTAACGCGTCGCCATTATTAACCAAAAAATATATAAAAAAAGAAGAAGTTATAATCAAGTTCACATTTCACAACATTATTTGAGTAACAAATTTTGTTAAAAAAATTGATTAACAAAATTTTCCTTTACCCTTTTTCCTTTTTCCTTTTCCTTTTCCTTTTCCTTACTTACCTTTATTTTCTCCTTTTTCCTTATTTTTCCAAATAAATGCTTCCAAATTGAGCCAGGGGACCTGTGGTCTTGAGAAAATTTGCCATTTCCAAACTCTTAAACCCAAAAGGATGGTTGTAAATCTAGATCTATTTTTGTTTTTTATTGATACTAAAATAGTTACGAAAATAACAATCTACCATAAACAATAAAATTAGTGGAGTGAATTTAGCCCCACTCTAAACCTAAAAATGTTTGTCGACGTGGCAACAGCTCATTGGACAAGGGCAAAGTAATTCGCAAACCTTTCGGCAGATAATGCAGCAATAGCTTTTAAACGCAGGGGTATTTTAGTTATTCAATCAACAGCGAATGGCAGTTTATTGGCCCTGGTCTCTCTATTTATTCCCCTCTCGTTGACATTTCCACTCTCATACTCCGCGTTGGTATTAGGCATTCGGATCGCTCCCTCTGTCTCCACTCGCGCCTTCCCTCTCTCTCTCTAGATCCCTCTGTGAAAGCATTTCCTTAGGTAAAAGTCTTACCTTCAATTTCGTAATCTCTTTGATCTTAGATTTAAATTTCTATATATACGATCTCGATTTGTTCCTGATAAATCTCTGATTTACTTTTTAAAATTCGCTGCTATCATTGCGGAGATCGAGTTAGGGTTTGTTTGCTAATCGTTAGATATGGATTTTCATAAGTTATTTTGATAAATTTATAGAATTCTATGAATTTTTGCAATTCATGGATCTACAACTTTCTTTTCCCTTTCATTTTGTTATTAGATTACGTTTGATGGTTTCTGCATTGACTTGTTTTGAGATATTATTTTGTTATTCGATGATCTGCAGATCAAACTGTTAAATTGTTCGATCTGTTGTATTTATTTGTTTGTCTCGATAATACGCAAATGAGCGTCTGTGATAGGATTTGAATCTATAATGGATCTTAACATGGTAAGATAACGCTGTTAGTGGGATCACCTCGGGCTCTGGGTATAATTGTTGAGGTTCTGTTTTCCTTTTTCTTTTTCTTTTTCTTTTTTATTTTATGATTTGCCCTAGCTTCAGATCCGTCTGATCTGGTGAATTTTTTGGAAAATTAATATTGGTTTTGTGTTCACTATGTGATCTTCCCTGCAAATTTCGATTAGTCTAATTTTAATCATTTGATCTTCATTTTTCTGAATATATTTTTCTGCTGATATGTATGTGAAATGACGTGTTAATAATATGTAGGGATCTACAACCAGAAAGAGAAATGGGGCTGACATTTACCAAGCTTTTCAGCCGCCTTTTCGCCAAGAAAGAGATGCGAATCCTGATGGTTGGTCTTGATGCAGCTGGTAAGACCACGATCTTGTACAAGCTCAAGCTTGGGGAGATTGTGACGACAATTCCTACCATCGGTATGTCCTGGAAATCTCTTTTTTCAATTTGTTAACGGGTTTTTAATTTAGTCAAGTTTCATGCAATTGACTTAATGTGGTATGCTTTTTACAGTCTGCTATTGTGGTACTGAGTTTCTACGGTTTGAATTGTGCTTTTGTCTGATTGTTGGCTTTTGTGACTGTAATGCAAGCTTTGATACCATTAGCTTCCTGAAGTAATTTTTTGATTTTTGGCTTTATCTAGTTGAATTTCAGTCTGTATCTAGGAGGTTACATAACTGGCTTTTTTATTACTTGTTTAGTTGTTTACTATTTTCTGTTACCTACTGTCTCTTGTTTGTTGTCTTACTTATGGAACATCAAACCATTATAGTGTTTAAACTTTTGTCATGAAATCCTTATGAAGAAAATTTTATCTGTGATTGTGAACAGACCTCCTATTCCCTATTCACGACAGGAATGTGGATAAATGTCATAGCACAGTGTGTACTGTCAAGTGTCAATGAGTCAAATTATCTTAACCAAATGTTTTGCTTGGGATATAACTGAATTTGTACTCTACTACTTCCGACCTAGTCTCAGATTACATTTCCCAGAGGCTAAGTGGTTCTGACCAAGCAATGGCAACTGCCACACCTGGTTAACTTGAAAGAGGGGAACTTAAGCAACGAATTTTGTAATCATACTTCCAGGCCATACACATTAATAACATAGGAACCACACTTATTACAGTAACCTTTTCCTGCTGTTATTACAAGTTAAATGTATTATGGAATTACACACTGGCTTTGAGATTGCAGACAAGAGCACCTGTCACATAATGTCTTCCTTATGAGATGATGTCCCTATGCGGTACTAGCAATGCCCATAAATTACCACCAAAATGGTTATTTTTGACATTCTCTTGAAGTTGACAATCCTAATCAATATAGGGTCATGCTGACACCATGCAGTGGCCATCAGGCCTAATGGATGGTTGACAGCCCAAGGGCCACAACTGCCAAAGTGTCACCAAGGTTCTTGCATTAACATTTCCAATTGGCAGGGATGTTGCATCAACCAGCATATTTACAAAAATGTCAGTCTGCAACCTTGCACCCTGACAAGCCTTTATATGCCCAAAGTGCCTGTTTTTAGCCGTGGTATATCGTCTCTTGCAATGGCTCACAAAAGCCAACATGAATAGGGTCCAATCCCAACCCACTAACATAGTGAATTTATATGTCGTAGAAAGTTGTTTTCACTAGTGACAGAATTACATGTGGAAGTGGGAACCTGCCAGAAGAGTAGTTACTATTGGTTGCACCCATGAGGATACTCCCTTGGCCTCAGAATTTCTCAAGGGACTTCTGCTTGTTGATAGCTTAGATTGCCAGTAGAGTGAAAAGGTTCCTTATTGTACTCTATCATGATCTATTGGGAGTTATCCTGTATGTGCCATTGCTTTGGGATTCTAGGTATACATGTGTTTGTGTGTACATGTATTTCATGTTTTGCCACATCCTATAGTTTTGTTATTCATCTGGTCAGTTAATTGTTTGGTAATTTAGATTATGAAGATGTAGAGGCTGAAAATATTTTATACCATTTGGTGCTTCACCTTGTGTTTGGGTTCGAGGACTGAAGAATATTGGATAAAAGAATCTTGGTGAGACTTAAGTTAATTATGTACGAGTATCGTGGAGAAACTTGAGGGGCTGCTCCCACCTAAGCCATGACTGTAGAAGTTGTATCTATTTTAGGCTAGGGTAATTAGAAGAACCATAAAATGTGTGTGAACTTTGCCTTGTGCTTTGACTTTTTTACTGAACAAAGACTTATCATAGCATGGTGCTTATACATTATTTGTCCAGCTAGGTATCAACTGACGTAAAGCCTGAGTGCCTGACTATGGAACCATGTTCATCCTTTGGATATTTAGATGGAATTATATAACATGTATGTTTACTTGAAGCAGGTTATGTGATAAGATCATAACAGTAATGTTTAATTGTAAATGTAGTTACACTCACTAGGGAAAACATTAATTGATAGTTCTCTGAGTTTCTAACCAAATGCTTAAATTTGTGATTGAACTTGTTCTCGTGTCCTATTTGTCACCAGCACAGTCTATCAATATTGGTGACCTTGTTGATGAAAGCGTAATTTTGTTTGGACTAGTTCAAAAATGGATTTTTATTAGTTACATCTAATGATTATCTGCAGGCTTTAATGTGGAGACTGTTGAATATAAAAATATCAGCTTCACCGTGTGGGACGTTGGGGGTCAAGACAAGGTATGAGATTTTCATGTTTGTTTTTACTTTTTGCATCTGTATCTTAAACTGAGTTTTTCATCATATTTTAATGAGGCCTGATAATTTGTTGTGTGAAATGAAATGCTCTTGATTCCTTCATAATCGGGGAAGTTTTCATGTTAAGAATGTGCGGACATTATCTCTTCTTTCTTATGCAGATTCGTCCATTGTGGAGGCACTACTTCCAAAACACACAGGGTCTTATATTTGTGGTGGATAGCAACGACAGAGACCGAGTTGTTGAGGCAAGGGATGAGTTGCATAGGATGTTGAACGAGGTAGCTATCCATTAATTAAGTATGGTCATTTGTTTATATATTGCCAGAAATATTGAACTTTTAGGATCTCCGACAATGTCTGTGATCAAAATTTTCTAGTGTATATTACTTTGATTGGTTTTCCAGAAGGGAAATGAAAAATTAAGAACACTGAACTATTATATGATGTGTTTATAAAATGAGCCTTTTAGTAAGTTTGTTCAGAGTACTTTTAAAGTTCACATGACCCCTAAACATATGTTTTCTATCATTTAAAGTTTCTTCACGTTGATCTAATCCTCAACTTTTCCTTCATTGTTATGAGATTCTCATTGATAATAGAGATGTTACCAAAGCATTGTCAATTTGTTGATTTTGTATAAAGAAACATTCTTATTCAGCATTGTTGGATGATAGGTTTATAAAATATGCTATTTTATATGTATCTTTTATGGGGAAAAACTAATTAAGAAATCTAACAAGAATTTTAACACATCTAATAACTGCAAGTTTCATCAACCACGACAATCAAAACAACACTAATCCGTAGCTGATTCAGACAAGTGAAATGCAAAATGAGGAAGCTCTATTGGAACTTTTCTGGAAGATAGAGAATAAAGTTTTATTGACTCCCTAGTGTTTAATTAGTCAGTTTTTTTGTTTTTGGCACTAGTAGTTAGTATGATTTGAATTGAATTCAACATGATATTCAGTGGTGCGCTTCATGGTTTGACGCAGGATCTATAAATTGTTTGTATTCGCTTATCACTTCATAACTACTCATTGTTTTATTCCTGGATTTTATTTAATTATATTATGACCAGAGGATTCAAATATAATGTCTTGTTCCAGGATGAGTTGCGAGATGCTGTCTTACTTGTATTTGCTAACAAACAAGATCTTCCTAACGCAATGAATGCTGCTGAGATAACTGATAAGCTTGGCCTGCACTCTCTCCGTCAGCGTCACTGGTTAACTCCTTGGACTTTTTGTTCTGTGATAATGTGTATCAATATTTCAAGTTGATCATGCTCTAAATCATCTAATCTCATGCTCTGTTCTTTCCAGGTACATCCAGAGCACCTGTGCTACCTCTGGGGAGGGTCTCTATGAGGGATTGGATTGGCTTTCCAACAACATTGCTAACAAGGCAAGTACTTGGATATATCCTCTGTCACACTCTGGATTGAGCTAGCCTTGAGTGTTATTTATCCCTTCATCATTTATTTCACACTTCCATTTTTGATGATTGTAGGCATGAGGTCTTGCGGAATAGTTGGTTCTTGTGGGTTTGATCCTGGATGCAGGGTGGTCTTTATCTAGTCATCTCTTTTTTCCCTCCCCTCCTAAATGGTTTGCGGCTATGGATTTCAATTTTTATTTTTATTTTATTATTTAAAAAAAAAAAAAGGCATTTTGGTTTTCATTCAGGACCATCCCAACGGCTACGTTTTGTAGAATTGTTGGTTTGATATATGTATTTGAAATTGTTTGTCTAGTTTCAGATAACAATGTTTGTAGCTTTATGCGCGATACTAATTTGGAGTTGTCCCTTTGGAAATGGTCAAATGCATACTATGGTTTTGTTTTATGTATTTTTATGTTATGTTCATTTTTCATTGTAATGAATTTCAAGTAGTTAGAAATTAGACTTGCCGACTGGAGTACGAAATATTGGTCTCTTTTTCACAAATCTTTGTGTGTTAGCAAAACTATGGTGAGTTTATATTGGTTTTTTCTGGTCTGGGAAATTGATCAAAGGGTTTTCTTTGCGAATCAGTTCAGTTCCGAAATCCAATTAGTACCGTATTAGTGAATGCTCCGTCTCTAACTCTGGGACTGGGTTTGAGGATGCAAAAATGTCAAGTCGGAATGTTCATTTTACTGTGTTTATTTCCTTTTTCTTTTTGCAGTATGATTTAGTGACCGAACGGAGAGACATTTGTTCTACAGTAACCATGGTTGCAATGGTGCATGCATGTTTTAGTAATTTAGTCAAACAGAAACCAGTCAAATTATTGTTGAACAAGAAATGTATTTATGAAGAAGAAATGTAGAAAAATATTATACATTGGATAAAATTGGAGTGAGAATGAGAGACTTGGATTCTTCTACGTGCACTTGAGGGGCATGCCAAGACAAAGCAGCTACTACCTCCCAAAAACGAGAGGCTGAGCCTTACCTTCATCTTAGTTTTGTTCTCATCGCAATTTGCCAACCAATACCGTCCTCTCTTATTACTCTTAAAAATCAATGAAGTACCACACTTGAAATACTACACCCATACAAAATATGACTTTATGTGTGTGGTATAGGTATAACAAGCCCGCTTCAACTCCAATTGTTTATTTTGTTATATTCCCCACTTTGTTCTGTCTATGTGATTTGGGTCCCACAAGAGGGTGGACCTTGTATTCATAACAACACAATGTTTTGGTCCACATGAAGATATTATATAGTGGGAAGGTCGCAATTTAAAAATATCCAACATAGAAACAAGTTATATTTTCATGCCTTCTACGATTTCATTGCCTTATGTTGGTTTCAAATACAATAATTTGATCATAACATTCATATGATTACAATTTAATAGTTCAAAATTCTTCTTTTATTTTATTTTAATTTTAATTTTTTAAAATTTGAATTTGAGGCTACTCGTTGATTTCATACTTATTTTTTAATAATAACTATAAGACAACGGACATTAACTACAATATATAACAATTATTATGAAGTTACGTTGATTTTTAATTTCATCCATATCATTTGTGAGCATGCCAGTATAAACAGGTGTTAGGATCTGGTGTAGTCAAACATAAAAGTTGTACTGTCGAGAATCTAAACTCGTTTGGAAGATACTAGGGGCGTCGACATCTCACAACATGGACCACTAATGCTAAGTTGCTAACAGGGAGCCCTCCAACCTCTCATGTTAGCTTGAGATGGAAAATTTTCTTCCTATTTATTTATTTATTTATTTGTGTGAAAGCTATGCATTCTTTTTGATGTTTTAAGAGAGTATGCATCTTTTCGAGATCTAAGAGCATCTTCAATGCTTTCTCAATTAATCTTTCAAATTTAAACTATAGCAAGTAGATAAAAATAAGATATTTTAATAGACTCTCAAAAAACCTTTCATATTTTAAAATTATCAAAATTATTAAAATGAAAATAAGGTCCTTCAATGGACTCTCAAAATATGAAATGATTGTTATGTCAGAAGATAGTATTTTGAATGAAATATACCATTAAAATAAAATTATAAAAATATAATATTTTAATACTGTAATTTTTGATATAATTCTCACGAATTTATAATAATTTTGTTTTCAATAAGAAAATCAAAATTGGGACAATGACAAAAGTACTCTCTTTTGTATAGAGAATGGGGAATTGGTGAAATATGAAATACATGATAAAATCAATTGGGACCAAAAAACACTCCACCAATGGAAAGCTTTATGATCTCAGTTTTAACCATGTAATCCTACAATAGTTTTGTTCGTGGGTCCCCTGAGTAGCTTCAAAGCGACATTACCTAAAAGGACCCACTTGGGATACCTGTCCAACACCTGGTGTCAGTAGTACCGGGTTTCACATCCTAAACAAAGAAAATAAAAAAATAAAAAAATCAAACTTGTTGTCTCATCAATTCCAACCTCTAAAGTCTTGAATTTTTTGTATTAATATTAAACAAGAAAAAAAGTGATGAGCAATATGAAATGGAATGATATAATATAGGGACAAGTGTACAAAACACTTTAAAAATATAATTCGTCTAATATTTTTATTATTTATTAGAAAAAATGAATAAAAAATATTTTTTAATAAAAAATTTGATATAAATTAGTGATGTAATATTTATTTTATCTTTTTATTCTTTCGAAAATTTTTAAGAGGTATATATGCTATTTATCTTATACTATAGAGGTGTTATGTGCACATTACTTTATATATATATTTTTTGAAATTTTTTTTTTCTATATATATATATATATATATATATATATATATATATATTTGTTAATTTTGAGAATTTGTAGAACAAGAATTTGAATTTTTTTTTTAAATTTCAGTTTAATGTTTTCTACTATTTTTTTTTCTTTATTTTATTTTATTTCTTACCAACAATGTTAAACAAAAAAAAAAAAAAAAAAAAAAAAAAATGGAAAAAAATTCCCAATATCAGTGTGCACTAGTTTTCAAAGTTTGAAACATATTTGTTTTCTTTAGTTTGCACTTTATTTTTATTTTTTATTTTTTATTTTTATCTTTTATTTTCTTTTCTTTTATACTTTTATTTTTATTTTTATTTTCTATTTTTACCTTTACTTGTCCATTATCGGCGTTATCCAATAATGAGTAATTTTGTCAACTTAAGGTTTAAATTTATCAGAAGGACCTATTTGCACCAAATTGTAACTTTAGGGGTATTTTTTTTTTACACGTGAGAGGTAATTTTTGCACTGTAAGAATACTTTAGGGATGATTTTTGTACTTGACCCTATAATATGTGAAATCTAATAACAGGAAATGTAATATTGCGGTAAGAAATTGAGAGAAATCTATATATAATTGAGTAGACAATCTAAAAATATAGAAATACAATTAGTGTAAGGTTGTATTTGACGGTATGGAAATGAAGTCTTGAAATTGAAATTGGTAGAATTGGAAAAAAATTTATTTCAATTTTATGAATTGTTTTTTTCCATTCCACCGATTCTAATTCCATGTCTTCAAACATAGTCTTATCATTGTTTTGAATTTTATAGATTATTATTATTATTATTTTTAATTTTCCTATCTAAATTTGTATTTATTTAATTAACTTGTGTTCATCCTTTATGAACGTGATTTATTCATACTAACAGAGTAAATAAATGATTTTTCTCCACTAATTGTTTGGTGGGTAAAATAAAGAAACATTATTTAATAAGAGTTTTTTTTCGCTGTCTTCAAACACCTTTTTTTTTTTTTAATTATTATTTAATGAAATATTTTGCTTAGCAACCCAAACAAATCTTGCACCCCACTAGTCGACATCATGTATGCCTAACTTAAAGATAATTACCACACCCACCATTTTTTTTGAGTTTAAATACACAATATTATATGTATTTGCTTTGATCCAAGTCTACATCAATGATGATTAACTATTATAACGACACTAATGGCAAAAGATATTTATATAACTGCCGCAAAAATATAACATTATATACATTCAACTCATATGGACAACGTTTTGGCTTACACCTTTCATATATATATATATATATATATATATCTAAGGATATTACAATATTTTGAAATAATTGTGAGGTGTGAATATATTTTAGAAGGACATGTACCTAAACAGAGAAAAAAAAGTGAAGTGAAAGTCGAAGCAGTTTTGAGAGATTTTCGAGACTATTTTTGTTGCTTCTAGGGTTATACAGTACAATGATAGCATTACCAAATGATTCGTGGACTAACGATATTTCTTCTATTTTTTTAAGTGAATAGTGAAGGTTTTAGAAAAAAATCTTCACGATTTTTCAATTTAATTGGAACTATCTGTGACTGCTTTTTTATTTTAAAAATCTTAAGTAATTATGAATATCACTTTAATAAAGTAGTAAAAAAAAGTGGATATATAAGATCTTATAATTAGTGTCGTGGATACCAAGAAAAGGAAGTTCCCAAACAGTGAGTAAAAGAGATAAAACATTAAAAATGAAAAAGATGATAATAGTATTTATTAGATTAATTAATGTTGAAACATAACTTATCATGCATTGTGTGACAATTTACCTAATCAGAGGCGTGATATATGTTGCTTAAATCAATAAAACAAATCAAATTGTCACAATTCTTTCTTCAAACAGTCTAACAAGTAACAATTACTCTAATTAATTGATCTATGGAATTATTACATATAATAGATGGTACTAATGATTCATATTTATCATCTGATGGAATCAAAATCTTATAATTCTGTTAAAATAAAAATATAAAAAAATACTGTTTACTCTCATTGAAGTATCACTTTTAGACACATAGACTTAGTTGTCACTTTTTATGCATGCAGGTGTCACTTTTTGTGTTGCACAAAAAAATAGTACCTGATGCACAAAAAGTGGTGCTTATGTGATAAAAGTAGTACCTCTATGTCCAAAACAAAAGTGGTACCTATGTGTGTAAAAGTGATACCTTGTGAAAGTAAATATTGTTTTTTCATATCAACGTCAGCAAATCGGTCAATTTTATTTTTTTGAAATTATAAGACTTTGTTTCTATTAAATGGTAAATATAAATCAGGAACACTATTTATATACACTATTTATGTGTAATAATCCCATTATTTAATCTTAAATAGGTTTATAATTTTTTTTTTTTTTCTAACAAATTAAAAATAATTAAATTCCAATACGAGCACACCCACCAGACAATTGTGGGAACTGAGTAATTAATGTGTCAGTAGACAAGTATTAATTAAGCATTCCTGGATTAAGTTTTCATGTATACCAAGTGACATGACTGAAATTTAGACATTGTTATTAATTTTAATCATTTGGGAATAAAGTCGCACACTGAAAAAGACGCATTAAAGGAGTTCTTGCTCTCTTTCTTCCTTAGATGTGTCCCCACTTATTAGGTAGACGGCAATCAATTAAATTTTTGGTGTGACTGAATCGCAAAGGGTCCAGTGGATTAGGATATTTTATGTTGAATTGTGAGTATATATATATATATATACATACTGTACTTATAATATAGTAATATTTTATAAGAAATTTATAATACTCCACGTTTGGATCCATAAAATATATGGTCTAAGAAAGCCAACTACAAGTGGTAACAAAATGGAATCCGGATCCCCTCTTGTCGGTAGAGTTTGTGCCTCCTGTAGATTGTTAGTACAACCTATTACACGTAGTGTGTTATATATATATATATATATAAACAAAAAAGAAAAGAAAAGAAAAGGTTATTGTAGTAGCTTTGTGAAAGAACACAACAAAGAATGAAGTGACATAAAAGGAAATTCAAATTCAACAAAATGAGACCATATCTCTCTTAGATCTCTCTCTCTATTCGACTCCATCTCCCATGTCATTTGTCAGCCGAATGTGATGGAGGGAGTCTTGGCTTTGAGCATAGAAAGGTGATGTCTGCTCTAACTTTAACCCTCTTTTCTTATTGGATTCCAATTCCAATTTCAATTCCAAATCCAAATCCAAATCCAAATCCAAATCCGCAGATTTTAGCTCCTTCCTTCGTGCACACACACACACACACACACATATATATATATATATATATATATATGGGTGAAGTACAAAAAATATCTCTAAAGTATGTTTGCAGTGCATATCGCACCTATCATGTGCAAAAAAACATTTTTAAAGTTTTAATTTAGTGCAAATAGGTCATTCTGACGAATATAAATCCCAAATTGATTAAATTACCCTGAACCATTTTATAAAATATATAAAAATAAATAATTTTATAAAATGATTGAAAATGACACTATTGGAAGATGCCCCTCATGTGCAAAAAACATCCTTAAAATTTCAATTTGATGAAAATAGGTCCCTCTGATAAATTTGAACCCTAAGTTGACTAAATTACCTTTATTGAAACCATTTTATAAAATATATAAAAATAAATATTTTTTAAAAATGATTGAAAATGATATTATTAGAGGATGCCGACAATGGACAAGTAAAGATAAAAGTAAAAGTAAAAATAAAAAGAAAAATAAAGATAAAAATGAAAATGAAAATAAAGTGTAAACTAAAGAAAACAAATATGTTCCAAACTACAAAAGCAGTGCACACTAATACTGGGATTTTTTTACATTTTTTTTTTGTTTAACAGTGTCGGTACGAAAAAAAATAAAATAAAGAAAAAAAAATTTAGTAAAAAACAGTAAATTAAAATCTCAAAAAATTCAAATTCTTGTTTTACTAATTCTAAAAGTATTTTTTTTTAAAAAATTAGAAAGATATATCGTGAAAAAAAGTTTTAAAATATATATATATATATATAAGGTAATATGTACATAACACCTCTATACTATGATATTAGTAGTATATATATCATTTGGGTATTTTCGGAAGAGTAAAAGGACAAAACGGGTATTACAATACTAATTTATGTTCGATTTTTGATTAAGGGATATTTTTGCACAATGTGAAAAAATTATAAATGTTTTTTTGCATAATTTTTCAAATGGGATATAAAAATATTATACAGAGTATACTTTAGGGTGTTTTGTGCCCTTGTTCCATACATATATATATTCCACAAGGACAATGACACCCACTATTCATTGCTTTAATATGTAGTTAAAAAAGAGAATAATATTGTTTAAAGATTGGTGATATACTCTTCGAATCGAAGGGTCCGAATAACACAAAATAATATTGTATAAAGAGTGGTGATATGGAATTTGATAGTATGATTTTGTATACTCTTTCGCTTCGAACAGCAAACAAAGAGGGTGGGTGGCCCACACAATTGAACGGGACCCACATTTTGAAGAGATATAAATAATGTAAAAATAAGATTTTGTATCAAAGTCATGATAAGGAATTTGATAGCATGATCAATTCAAGGCGTCGGAACTAAATGATTTTTCTTGTATCAATATCTTAATTTTTTTTTCAATCCATGTAATCCCATGACCTTAAATCCTCGATTAATGATTAGGGCAAATTTAGCGTAACACTTTATCACTGTATTATTATTATTATTATTATTATTTTTTTTTTTGTTACTATAAAACTAAGGTAAAAAATGAAAAATGAAAAATGAAAAATGAAAAAAAAAAGAATAATAATTATGTGGATTTCTAACAGACCATGACCTTATTTCATTAAATCTCAGCCGTGCATTCTGATGATAATGATAGAAAAATGGTAGGGTGAGCAACAAATGACGTTCGCATTCGTTCCATCCACATACAATACCTAGACTTTGCAAAATATATTATTTGCATTAAAAACATGAAAAAGACAATAAAGTTGAATTTGGGTTTTCATTAATTTGGAGTTCATTTGGTATGCATGTACCACTCTCATTTGATGTCTATTTAAGGAGACGAAGTGTGCCATTGTAGGACTCAGGGACAAAGGTGAGTAAGGTGGCATCTCAGCGTTGCTAGTTTACTTTCCTAACACTCCTCAACGCACCAACACCTATTGCACAATCTCATCACTCTCCAAATCTCTCTGCAACCAAGCATTCAAAACTCACCTAATGGCCCCCAAAGTTCCCGGAGACATGTTCTCTGGCACCGGGATGGTCACGACGCTTAACAAAGCCTACTCCAAGAGGGCCTACGTAACATTTTTAGCCGGAAATGGTGATTATGTCAAAGGGGTGGTTGGGTTGGCTAAGGGTTTGCGAAAGGCGAAGAGCGCCTACCCTCTCGTGGTTGCAATCTTGCCGGACGTGCCTGAGGAACACCGCGACATCTTAAGGTCTCAGGGTTGCATTGTTCATGAGATTGAGCCCATATATCCACCTGAAAACCAGATCAAGTTTGCAATGGCATACTATGTCATCAACTACTCCAAGCTCCGAATATGGAACGTAAGTATCGTTAAATCACACAAATATATACTATGTGAAACTAGTATTATTAATCTTTTATGTACAAGGTTTCTTATTCACTTTTTCCTCTTCCTATATAAAGTAAGACACAATCTTGAAGCCAGACAGAATATTTTTTTTTTTAGTTTTCAATAAATGAAAATCTATTACAACACATGATTGTCTAAGAGTCCGGATCCTCTATAGTGTGTTGTAATACAACCAACGACCGTGATCACTCACACATGTGATTGATTGTGACAACAAAAGGATGAACTCATGTTTTAATTGAACAATAATAACACCTTTATTCCAAATATTCCAACTATTTGGAGTATAATTTTCCCTTTGCTTGGAAAGACCTATGTTAAAAATTAAAAAATAGAGGAGTACTTATATGTTGCACATGGTGTGTGTATATATATATATATACACTATACATAAAAATGGCATATATGTGATTTATATACCATACATACATTCATCATCATTCTCATCTTTGCTTTGATCCCACTCAAATGATTTGCCCATGGAATATTAATTTCTCCTTTCATAAGTATCTTTTTTAAGATCTTTATTATTCCATCTCATTTTACTTTCGTTATTTTTTGCTTCTTTACCTTCTATTAGTTTTTTTAGAGGATTTATAAAGATATATATATATATATATATATATATATATATATATGTTTGTATGATTACAGTTTGAGGAGTACAGCAAGATGCTGTATCTAGATGCGGATATACAAGTTTTTGAGAATATCGACCATCTCTTTGACATGGCGGACGGTTACTTCTACGCCGTGATGGACTGCTTCTGTGAGAAAACATGGAGTCACTCACCACAGTACTCAGTTGGGTACTGCCAACAATGCCCAGAAAGAGTGGTTTGGCCGGCCGAGATGGGTTCACCTCCTCCGTTGTACTTCAACGCCGGCATGTTCGTGTTCGAGCCTTGCCACTTTACCTACCAAACCCTCCTCGACACTCTCCAAATCAGTACTCCAACACCCTTCGCTGAGCAAGTAAGTCGTACTACAAATTGGGATGACAATTTTATCTAATCATACGAGTCATATAAAAGAGTAATCTATCTATTATGGTTTCGTTTTTGAAGACAATGATGATGTTTGTTGAAGATATTGATTATTGATTAGTTTGATGATTAAAATAAGAGTTACGATCACTAGATACCATCAACATTTTCCCATCACCATCATTAAAGATTTGCTATTCTCTAGCGAAGAGATTTGATCAGATTTCTAAAGTTTTTGTTTTCCTTGCATACAATTTAGGATTTCTTGAACAAGTTCTTCCAAAACACATACAAACCCATCCCTCCAGTCTACAACCTTGTTCTAGCTATGTTATGGCGCCACCCAGAAAATGTGGAGCTCGAAAAAGTCAAAGTGGTTCACTATTGTGCTGCTGTAAGCATTCTCTTCTTGCCTCCAAAATCAACTCTCTCTCTCTCTCTCTCTCTCTCTCTCTCTATATATATATATATATATATATATTGATTTAGCTAATCCACAACTTCGTATTTAGTCCAGTTTAATTAATCTTCTCTGCGGTTTTATTTCTGAAAAATAGGGATCAAAGCCATGGAGGTACACTGGCAAAGAAGCTAACATGGAGAGAGAGGACATCAAGATGCTAGTAGCAAAATGGTGGGATATCTATAACGATGAGTCGCTTGATTTCAAGGCTGAAGACACTATTCAGGAGGAAGAGACTTTCTCGAGGCCATCAATCATGGCTTCCATGCCAGAACCTGCAATTTCCTACATTCCTGCACCCTCTGCTGCTTAAGAGCGCAGACCTAATCAATCTAAGTCTCAGGAGTTCAAAGTTGGTGTAATCCCAGCCAACCTAATTAAAGTGTTCAGGCTACTAAGCCTTTTTTGAGTTGTGGAACTTAACAAAAAAAAACCTTTTGAATTTTTAATATATTTGATGTTATATATACATGTGTATGTAGTGGCAAAGAAATATGCAACAGTCGTTTGAAATTATACCGAAATCTTTGCTTGTTATATATATGTTTTGTCTTCCTTTTCCATGCTATTCATCACAAAGCCCTTTCATCTCTGCTTTATTTCTGGGCATATCCTGCGTTCATCACTAGATCCTGTGTTTGATTGATGGGAAAGTCAAGAAAGGAGAAGCTTCAATCTCTCTAACTTAGTTTTCTCTGCAGCCAAGCATAACAATGTTGAATAAATCACAGTTCGAGCAACTAATGGAGCTACAGATGAACATATTCTAGAGAAGGCCTCTCAAGTCTCTTGCTTGAATATTCTAACTTGATATGGTGAAAATAAGATTAGTCATAATGATGTAAAGCAAATGAAAAAATAATACTAATGAAAGTGACAAAATGATTATCTTGTATTCATCAGTGAACTCCATGACCTTGAATCTTCAACCATCCAATAGTCTGTAATTCCTTTCCAAAAAACCCATCTTAATTTCACATCATAACTCAGCAAAATTTAACCAATTTAACATAATAATAAACAAAAAAAAAACTGCAACCATAAAAAAAACACCATATACAAATTTGACCACCAAAATAAGTTTCCATTGTCACATTCTCTTGTGGATCACCATATCTGTGACCGAGATAATCCTTTCCTCAATGCAACCCTCACCGAATATTTCACTGGGATGTAACACTGTTTCCAGTTCATCACCCGTACAAGAACTTGAAAATGATGTATGTAGTCGAACTACAACTTTTCTTAAGATACTATTATAGCTCTATCCATTTCTATCATGCATCAGTAAAAACTGTTTGATACACGTGCTAGTGGGGTTTTCATACCTAGAAGAGCCAGAATTTTAATTCTTATCATGAATACATTCTCATTATGAGTTCGCATCTTCATCCACGAGAGAGCACTATCATGATAGCTTCTCCCTCTATGTTATATGCAATCTTTTAGTGTTTACTTACAAGATGGTTTCTAGTGAAGGCATGACAACTAAAAAGTTGAAGAGCTTCATCATCATTCAATCACTCAACCCTATATTACATTATCAACTTTATTCTCTACCAAAAAACGTTCATCTCTCTCGTTGCTACGATGATCTACTTCCAAGACTAAACCAGTCCTTTCCTCTAGCTAAGCTTTATAATTGCATTACATGATCCATGTCAACAGGAACCATCTCGTAACCGTCTTTGTTTTAGCACGTTGATTAGATAGTCAACATGGCCATTATCTTTACATTTTTTTCCATTACTATGTCATTCAAGAGTTGTTGCAGAAAAGTTAGACTATGCTTTTCTGAATCTTCTTTGACATTGCTAAGGAAATGAAAACTTTCAAATTTATCAAATATTTGATTGAAAGCAACTTTGGCAATGGTTTTCTTTCCTATTCCTCCAATTCCACGAATCCCCACAATCTGCACTTCTTTTAACCCAATGTCTCGCAAGGTGATCACTCTGTTCACACGAGAATCTATCCCCACTTTATACTAGGCAACATTTAATGGTACATGTCCCAATCCTTTTAAAGTTTCTTGAACAGCTTTCTGATAAACTTTGCCTCATGCCTATCAATTAGGACAAAGCACATTTAAAAACAATCTGGCTGGTCATTGTACAAATAAGAGAAACAAATTTAAGTCACTATGATGAATAGTTCTGTCAATTATAACTCATATATGGATATATAATAATAGTAAGCAACTGAATTCGCAAGCCAAACTGTTAGAAATAGATTCATAAATCTTTAAAAGGTTAAAAACTATATGATCATCATATATTGAATAAATATAGAGATACGTGTGTGTGCGCACTGTGCAGTTTAAGATATCAAATAAATATAAATGTTGAAGTTACCTTTGAAGAAACTCATAACATGCATGGCTAGGAAACTTTGTTGGTGTGGTGGACTCCGACATGATCAACAGGCCGTATTTGGATATTTTCATATTATGGCAAACAATTGTCGAAAGCAACCTAAATTCTGGATGGTGTTACCATCATCATTATCATCATCATCATCATCAATTCATCACATGTTGCTTAACAACATTAATATTAATTGCAAGTAGGACCAAAAGTACACATGAAAATTGTGGATACAAATTAACCGCAAGCAGTTGATTTCATACTCAAAGACACCTTCTACGACATTGCTTTGCATTTCTTCTATGCAAGGCCCATCTTTTTTTAATGTCACATATTTCATCCACTTCGCATCCTTCAGATACTCCGTGATATATCCCAAGATCCTCATTAGAACTTTTAGTGTCAAAAACTCCCCTAATTCTGGAAGTTTCAGCGAGCAGATCATTTATCAGCATCTCAGTCGTCCTCGTGGTAATTCCCCTAAGATACCAAGAAATGGGAGGGGGCGGAACAAGGGATGGTTGGATGAGCTGCTCTAAGGTCACTGTTGAACCCATCCTTCCTTTGCCTCTGGTGCATGACATATAATCAGCTGTAGTTTTAGGTCTGAAGGGATGACACAAATTTTCATCCACAAATAGAGGTTCTACTTTCCAGCAGCCTTCGAATTTTTCCATAAATCCTGTTTTCACTTGCTTGAATTTCATCTGACAAACATGTGCAACAAGAAAAGAAATCAATAAGTAGCTGTAATTATAACTAATGTAGACAGTGCATCATGATTAAGTGATGCTTTAATGCTTATTGTAATTTGTAACTTTTCTCATAAAAAAATGCATGATAAGAAATGAATGTGGTGATGGGCATTAAAATTTATCTTCAACAAAGTTTCGAATTATTTGTTCTCCAAAAGTGTATGCTAGTAAATGGAATCATAATATCATTATCCTGGAGAACCAAATGTTTGGTGTGTATCAACTAGAGGTGCAACTTGCTTTGGTATGATTCTGTTTGGTGCCAACCAAGAACCAAACAAACCTAGTTCGATGCTCAAAAACTGAACCAAATTCAAACAGATAGTGAGCAGAACTAAACCAAATCAACCTTGATTAAGAATGGATTTCTAAGTCCAGCAAATGAGTTGAGCTGAATAGAAATGTTTGCAGAGGAAGCCTTTAAATTATTAAAAGAAAGTGTAATGGAAAAAAGAAGAGTTGAGAAAACCAAACTCCTACTGCATAAATATAAGAGATTCAACAAACCAAATGGAGGATCCACAATCACGACGTAGTTTAGAGAGAGGTGAATCTGAAAGTTGGGATTTCTTTTAAAAAAAACCATAACTTGAATGCAAAAGAAGGGGAAAGAGAACCATCTTTCCGTTGCTAGAAATGAATCTTGGAATAAGGATGAAGGGTGACATGAGAAAATTTTGAAGTTAGAATGAAGGGAAAAAATTATTATAGAATAAAACGTAGAAGAGGATAAAAAGAAAAATTAACTTGGAATGAAGAGGAGAGTGAGGGTCTGTTGTGAGCTAATTAGAATAGAAAACAATTTGTAGGTGGAAGTGCCAAGTCTCTCTAGCTTTGTTCTTTATGCTTGATCTGTCAAGCAAAGCCTACCTTCTAGAGTAAATATTAATAGATGGTCCATACTTGAGTAGTTGAGTGCGTGAGGGTTGATTCAGCAAACCAATAGTTTAACCCAAAAGTGGACCAACATAATGTTTTCTTCACTTTTTTAGGCCCAGAGATAGAGAAACTTGTTGCAGAACTGAACCAAACCAATCCATTGAGGTCAGGCTGGTTTGTTCTTGACAGTGAAGTAAGACTAAGCTCATAAGTAGAGGTCTATCGGTGCAAGGATGACTCTCCCGGGCCATATTAATGAATATGAATTCGATTGAATGCTTTAATTCTCTACTTCACGTTGGTGAAAAATGAGGTGGTAATGCTAAGCAGGGTTGGCTTATTCGAAGCTTTAAGCAGTTTATAGAGAGGTGTCATCTTGTTGATATTGGTTTTATGTTTTAACTTGCGCCCCTAGTATTGTCAGAGACCAATTTCCAATTTTGAATTCCTCTGCTCTCTTTAAATTCACATTTTAGAAAAGGATTCAGCCTGGAAAGGGATGATAAACATTATTATTATTTTTTGGTTCTTCCTTGAGAATATGCTATTAATTAATATGTCTAAAATTAACAATTAAATTAAAAAGAATAATTAGGCTCACTGTGTGATATTCTCTGTTCTGATCTACTAAAACATGAACTGAGATGGTTCCTGACCACCAAAGAAACCTCCATAAAGCGGCTTGCTCTAGTTCAACCACCTGCCTTAAACCTTCATCAACCAAGACCCTTCTGAATAATACTTCCTGATAAAGATGTCAATCTCGTCAAATGACCAGGAGAAAATATCTGCAGCGCTGGAATTAGTACAGGAGATAATAACCAAAACAAAATACTGTGACAAAATTTCTGGAACTCCCCACCCACCCACTTGAGAAAGAGATATTAGCAGAAAAAACTCCCACTTGAGAAAGAGATATTAGCATAAAAAACTCTGGGTAGTGCACTTCTTTTAGATTAGCAGAAGAAACAAGCGACATACAGGAAGCAGATTAGAATTTCTAATACACAACCTTGTCCATTTATCAAAATTTGGAGTAATATGAGCTGGAGGATGGCAATGAAGCAAATGAAGATTCTTTTAGTTACCTCAATATTCTTGAAGACCCTCTTATTATCAGGGTCTGTGACAATGTCATATACTGCATCTGGGGGCAACCCGACATCGACTTTCACACTCAGGTTGCACAGAGAACCTTTTGGTACGCTGACCTGCAAAAGTTACATAATATCCCCATAGTGAGACTTCATGCTCTTCGTAATAGATATCCTGATTAATGGTTTTAGCAGTAGAAAACAATAAGTAGGATTTAACGTTGACAAATGTACTTAATTTTTCTGTCCACGACTTTCTGTTTGGTCTACCTCAGAATGTTAGAAAACCACTATGACCACAGAGGGCTGTTTATGCAATCTGACAATTTACAGAAGATTTTATCCCACCTAAACATGCTCCATGTGGAAGAAAACAAGCTAGTGCTAGGCTATTGTCTTGAAATATGAGGATTCATAAAATAACAGTGACCAAGATAGAGATGTGCGAGTGAACTTGATTTCTAATCACTACTCCAACGAAAGAAGTTCAAGTCAGTAAAGTACAGCATGTTCCCTGTTTTAATCTTCCTTACCTTTATATCTGGGGATTGATCAGCCCAAACAGGATTTTCTTTCCAAGCTTGAATTTGCTTCTCTAGATTGACCTCCAAAGCAGTGGATGAAGTTTTATCCTTTCCTGTGATGGGGATTGCAGAATTCGCTTTGTCATCAGCTTTTGTTGATCTCTTAAATTGCGACTGTGATAACAAAGAAGTAATTTTATTCAATAACTCAATAAACACCATTAAAATATCAATGCTTAAGAGAAATCAATGACCTTTAGGCACTTTCGAAGTTTCTCGGGGAGCTGCACAAGGAAACTTGGCAATGCTGGACCAAAATTATTTGGACGTTCACTGCTTTTATTATTTTGAACATCTATGCCAGTTGTCATCACTTCCATATCACCCATTGAAGCCTGATTTCAGTTGCAAATGTTAACTTAAATGCTGCCCAAAGTATCTCTCATATTTACTACCAGTGTTACCAATCTCCTTCAGACTGAAGGTTCAGACTGATAATTTTAGGATTTTGGTCCTGTGGTCTTCAGGGGTTTTACATAAAAAGAATTGTCTATATCTACATTTTGTTTTACTACTTTATGTGTGTGAATGACTACGGATTACATTACCTTTCAAAAAAAAAAAAAAAAAAAAAGACTATGAATGAAACATGTGGATAACTAATAAAACAGAAACTTGGATAAAATTTAACTGAAATAAAAAAAGTTAGGTATTCACAAAAAGTAACCATAAGACTTAAACAACACCCCCCACCCCAACCACCACCACCCAAAATAAAGGTCTGAATTAAACTGTATGCATTCTAACATATAAAAGTCTAGGGTGACAGTCTATTCCCCAAGGATTACATATATATGTATATATAGATATAGACACCTACGCTATGGATTAAGACTTCAAAAAATTGAAAACAAGATGTGTAGTCCCTAAAAAGAATCAACTAGCAGAAGAGGTCTGAAAATAATTTCACAGCCTTCAGCTCACAAGGGCTATAGAATTGGATAGTAGAGACTGAAGAACACCAGGACAAAGAATGTAAGCAGAGAGTGCTTCATGGCTCAAGTAACCTTGAGCAGTACGGCTATAGGATACTGTTAGCCAAGATATGTTAACCTAGAATTGTGTTAGAAGATGCATTGTCCAAGTTGGACGTCTCAGATTCCACGCAACAACTTGAGGGGGAGTGTTAGCCGAGATATGTTAGCCTAGAATCGTCTGATTTGAGGGCGTAATTATTGGAATTTGACCATGTAATTATTCAGTTTCCTTTCTTGTAATACTAACATATCTCAGCTAACAAATACACAAACAGATTTCAGATACTAACCACAAGATACCCTCAAGTAGTGTACTGGCTTCTTTTGGATGCTGCATATTCTGTGTTTATAAATCATATATATAAAATATTGCAGATTATATCTTATCAACAATGGACGTAGGTAGGCTTGTCAAACCACGTTAAACCTTGTATTTCTTTTTTTATTGTTTGTAATTAAATTTCAATATGAAAGAGCTGTCACTTGCATAACAGGTTTAATTATCTTTCAACATATCTTATACTCATATTAATGTTGTGTTTTTTCCGACCATTTATATACTTATGTTTAACATAGATGACTATGATAGCTATTGCTAAACAGCAAAAATTATAGCTTTTGTGGTGGGTTGGCTGATTTCCCCATTTCTAAGTTTTTGGAACCACTCTCACCTATTGCGAGAGAATTTTGTTTTGATAATTAATCCTAGAAGCCATTTGCCATTAGTTGTCTAGATGGTATATTCTTGTGAAAACGTGGACTGCCAGAGTTAATTTCTATCCTCCTTGAGAATGCAGTAAAAGCTCGGGATGTCATGTTGGAACACAAGTTCAAATCTATAGAGAAGCCAATAGGTACATTGAATACCAAATGTCAGGTCTGTGTCCAATTTATCCCTCCCAACACTCTTGAGTAAGAGCAACCAAACTCAGGTAATGACCCTTCTATTTTCCTTGAGAAGGTTAAGGCGAGGCTTCTCAATGGAGTTATGTTTATTCTGTTTCCCATTCTTGTTCTAAAAATTAAGGTCAAATTTCCCCGTTTAGATTCTCTCAGATTTAAATTTCAGAATTTTTAAAGTCAAAATTGTTTTTTGAAGTGGTAGAGCCACTTCCGCAATTTAAAATTCGGACTTTTTAAATCAAAGTGATAGCCACTTCTGTTTCCATCAAACACACTTAATGAAGAATCGGCAAAACCATTTTAGTTCCTAGCACTCAATAAAGTTATAGTGCAGCCCCTAATGGTCTTAACATACCAAGCCAATAATCTATGTGAACTTCCATCACCACTATAACGAGGAATTCACATTGCTGCTCAAGCCAATTTATCAGAGCAGCAATTAACCGAACAGAACCTATTCACCATATCAATCCAAAATTATGGAAATATCAACCTAAATCACGAAACAATAAAAACCCATCACTCAAAACTTCCAAAATCAAACTAACAATTACAAGCAACAACATTCGCCACATGTATTTCAGTAAAGTAAAGCATAAATTACAAAAGAAAAATATTTTTAGAAGATAAACAAGCAAATTTCGTGAAAAACTACAAAGAAATGGATAAGATCACAAAGATGCACAGAATAACCGAAAATCCCAAAACTTATAAAAAGTAAAACTTTACTCCTAGATTGCACCCAGGAAGGAAAAAGGAACTGTGAAAAGAAAAATAGGCAGATCTACTAAATGTCATCAAAGCTTTCTAATGATTTTGTATAGAAAGGTATAAGAGAGAAGAGATTCACTCACTTGGGAATGTAATTGGCAGAATATTCACTCTACTGGAGATTCGTAAAATGCCCAAAATGTTTAACTAATCACTGGAAAACTGGCCTCTCCCTCCCTCCCTCCCTTCCCCTCTCTCTCTCTCTCTCTCTCTCTCTCTCTCTCCATATTTATATATATATATATATGTATGCGTGTATCTATATATCTCCTTTTAGTTTTATTCACTTGGATCTTTTCTCTCGTCTTCTTTTTATTTTGGAGGTAACAACACCACACACGTGATTTAGACCTTTGCACATGTTAGGTGTTTTAAGTGGATCAACTGGTCAAGTGTTACCGCCACTACGCGATTTTTCTCTTTTTGCAGGCAACCTTCGAATTTTCTTCGATTTGGGATTTACAGATTTGGAAGTGAATTGTTTAATTAAATAAATTTTTATTAGTTAATTATATAATAGAAGTAAGTGAGGGATCAGATTCCCTTAATTATTGCAAAAATGATTAATTAATTCTTATTTATTATATAAATAATTAATTAAAAACAGTAAATTTACTAATTCACTGTAATTGCTCAGTGCAAAAATTATTTTTAATTAAAAATGAACTAAAATTTTCTTAAATTTTATTAATTCTAATTTTATGATTTTAATTTCACACCGCCTAACATAATTTTAATAAATTGTATTGTAATAATTCATTAGTACTCTTTTTAACTTAGACCTAATTTTTTGCAATTATAATTAGGGAAATGATTCTTGCATCGAATAGTTGCACTGAATTATTAGACCTACTATTTTAATTGACCAATTATGCTATAAATAAGGAAGTAGAGTAGTATTTGATACAAATAGTCAATTAAAAATTATTCGGTTAAGCAATTCACTGTAAGTATTAAGTATGAGTATCACTACTCTTATAATTATGGTGCAAAAATTGATTTCTTTTTTGAAATTTACAAGTAAAATTGTGAAAGTAACACTGTATACATCTGACTCTTGCGAGAAATTTATAGACTGGACTTATCTTTTTTAGAAATAATTTTCCTACAATATTTATTTATTTATTGGTTACATAATCTTTTCTTTGGTTACATAATCTTTTCTTTTGTTTTAGTTTCTGGTGACTAAGAAAGGCATATTAGAAAACCCTTCTGGCTTTTGAACCTTATCAACCAAATTAAGTATCCAGGAGGCCAATTATAATTATTAAGCCAAATTGATTTGTTTTTAAAAATTCACAAATGATTTTCATATATATATATATATATATATTTCCATTTTTCTTTGTTTTCCTTTTAATTTGTTCTAGTTTTTGGTAGGGATGCAACTTGGGTTGGGTAGCCCGAGCCTAACTCAAGCCCAGCCCGATTTTTCACGGGCTTGGGCAATCATTTTTATAATTAGGATTGTGCTTGGGTTAAAAAATCTTAACCCGAATTTAATTAGAGTTGGATTTAGGTTGAAGTGCTAGTAACTCGAGCCAACTCGAACCCGAATTCTAATATTATTTTCATATACATTTTTATTTTTAAATACTTTATATATAATATTTAAACTATGGCTACTTTTTTTCTTTTCAACTTCTTTGTTAAATCTTAACTTATTGTATGTTAACATTTAGGAGAATTAATTTTCTAAAAATTTATTTGTAATTTATTAAAAATTTACAAAAAAGTCTTTAAACTTTTTTTTGTTTAAGATCATATTAAATTTTTGATATAAAGATTAGTCATATGAGTAATCCGAATTAACCCGAACTTTTTACACGAAATCTAAGCCCTAGTTACAAGCCCGAATTTAAAAATAAAAGGATAGGTTGGGCTTGAGTTGAGTAATTAAGGTTGAGGATAGGGTTAGGGTTGGGCTTGGGTTTAGTATTTCATATGGTGGGTTGGGCTCAAACTATACCTTAAACCCGCCCGAGTTGCAATCTTAGTTTTTGGTGACTATTTAGATCCTTGCATTTTAGTTTCTATTTTTAGGTTTTTTTTAAAAAAAAAAGAAAAAAAATTATCATGCCATATTTTTATTTTTATTTTTTTATTTTTTTTTAAAGAACGTTCTTGATTGATAGATTAAAAATGTTTGAAAATATAACGACCCGAACTCGGAGGTCCGAATCACTAACCAGGACCTTACTCGAACCCGAGAATGCCCAAGGGTAAAACAGTCAACTAAGGGATGAAACTGAATGATATGAATCTAAATGAGTCATAATAGGTCAACATAAGTCATAATGGTCATTTGGACCCATGTCACAAGATTCTAGATATAAGAATGATGATTTCACACAATTGCCCCTTCGGTTTCAAAGATTTCAGGAGTAATCCACACTCAAAAGGCCATAACTTTGTCTCCTGTTGGAATGTTTGAATGTAGTTGGTACCATTAGAAAGATGACTCACATTTGACCCAATTTGGAATTAAGATGAGGGAGATGTGGTTATTTGAAGTTGGGTCAAAAATCCTGGTGCATTGAAGGCGTCAGCCGGCCAAAGCCAATGGGTTAACCAGCCAACTAGGATGGTCAACTGGCTGAAACAAGGTTCCATCGAAGGTAACCCTCTGTTTTGGCCCTTAGTCGGCTGGTGGGCCTTGCGAGCCGGCCGACAGGGCCTGGGAGTGACCAAAAATGGCCCAAAAATGTATTTTTTCCACTATTTGAGTGCCCAAGCAACTTGATATCATATAGGTAACACATCCAACCTTAAATTTGATCAAAACCCTATCCCAAATAACCATAAACATGTATACAATGATAAAATAACATCCGTTTATCATAGCGGGGTTAAATTACATCAATGACACATAAATTTTAGTCTAGTTACATCTTTAAATGGTTCGGAAGCTTTAAGGTATGTTTGAGAGCACAATGAGATGGTAAGAAATGGAAAATGGGCTTTGAAACCTTCTACAACCCAATATACATACAATTGGTCATCAATTACAAATCATAGCAAAATTATACATCATTAAAACACATATTGCAATATATATCAAATTTTACATGTTTCAAAATAAGTTAAACATCTAATCGACAAAAGAGTCCTCAATGCATCAAAATATGGTGGTGAATCGTCAGTTTCTCCTTTTTCGTTTCCTGAAAAATAAAAAGTAGAGGTGTGAGTACAATGGCTTAGTAGAGATTGCCTAAGTGGCATTTCCTCAAGCAAGATAAGTAATCACGTGCCTAATATACAATGCATAGGAAAGAGGGAAGAGATCATGCAAGGGATTCACATACAACACATCCATTCTCAAATAACCATCATTATCATCCATATGCAATGTAATGCATGAAATGCTCAATGCAATCATATATCACACCCACACCTTCACATGTCCACACATCACATCCACACCCTCGCATATCTACACATACATCTCTCAACTCACACAATTCTCTTTTGCTCATGAACACCACTATGCCATGCATATGGAAATGCTTTAATTTCAATCATCCAACATTCATCATGCTTTCATAATACAACAGACATTTCTATGGCTAAAAGAATATTAATTCCAATTTATAGCATGCTTTAAACATTAAAATATCATTTAACATGTGACTAGTTAAAGACATCACAGCAACCATATATGGAAGAATATATATATAATCCATCACATAGCCACTTCATAGCATGTTATTTGGAATTCATACACAAGATACACTTATAATTACACCAAACACATCAATTAGACAAGACTCATGCATAAACCAAGACCCTAGAATTTTGCATCATTCAATTAACATCAAATTGACATGCCAGAGGAGGGAAAAAATCCAATTAACTATAAAATCCAATGAATTTGACAATTTGACAATTAGACAATTCTACCTCTTTAGATGCAAAAAAAACCCTAATTTTGAAATGCACCAAAATCACTCAATTAACAATCTGTTCTGATCACCTCGTAACTCTTGTAGAGCTCTACAACTTTGCCTTCAAGGGCAAAGATCAAATCCCACAAAAAATGGATGAATCTAAGCTAGAAAACATAAAATTTAGAGAGAAAAAGTTTTGTATAGAGAAAAGAAGGCTGCGGTTTTGGAAGAGAATAATGGCCACCAAATTTCATATTCTTGTGATATATGTGGTTGTGTAATTGAGATTTGGTCCATATGGGGTCCACTTGTCACAATAAAAATCTATTTTGTCTCATTCTATACATATACACATGTTACAATACATATCTAAGCACATAGCCACATAAACATATACTCAATAATAATGTATGAAGTGCAATGATACTGAAAAATAATCAGGTGCACGAAAAATTCGGGACCACCTTCCGGTTCGAAAATTTGAAAAATGCAGAAATGGCTAACAATGTATTTCTAAGAGTCCTGAGCTTGAAGAAATGACTCAAACAACTCTCGGAACTCACATGGCACATCCCACGGTGCTCAACACCTAAAACGAGGAGATAAATAAATTAATAAATAAATAAATAATTACCCGGGAAAATTGAAAAAATTGCGAAACGTCATAGAAAACCTAACTTAGTAAATCCATTTCTGACTAGAAAAAGCATATTAGCAAACCCTAAGGGTGCATTTGGATACATAGGAAAAAAAAGAAAAGAAACGATAGTATTAGTTTGAAGAAAAAACAAAAGAAAAGAAATGATAGTAATAATTTATATTCATGTTTGGGTAGAAAAGAAAGGATAATCATTCTTATTTGGATAAGATAGAGGAGAGAGAAGAAAAGAAAGCATAATAATCAAGTTATTATTCTACCCTTTTATATAACTAGGACTTAAATGGAATAACAAATCTATATATTTATTTGTAGAGGTTAGTTTTGGTATTATGAAAATACCACTAAACCACTATGCTTTTTCTCCATATCTTCTCAATTTTGGAGAGATAGCAAATGAGGGATCCCTCCCTATTTCTCCCTATCATTTCTTTTCTCTCCATTTAACTCACCCAAACACAATTGACCTGTATCCTTTATTTTCTCTCCCTAACTTTATCTATCAAATTGAGTACCCAAGACCAAGAGGCCAAGAATCATGATTTTTGCGTCAATGCCAAGAAAATATTAGAAAACAAAAAAGTGAAAAATTGTTATCTTGTAAAAAAATCTCATGTTGATTAAAAATTTGCACCCTACGAGTCCCTTCCCCCCCCAACCCAAAAAAAAAAAAAAAAATTCTTCTGCCATT